AAAACAGCGTACCATAAAAAAAAAACGAAAATCGCTGTCACATATAATATAATAACCACTATATAACCATTTTATAACCAAAACTCAAATTTTGTTTCAATATGAGTGATTTCTAATATAACGTTTTTTTTTCTTTTCTAGTTATGTTACGTTATTTTACATTTTATGTGACATGCTTCTGGCTACTTTTAGATATCTAATCAATTAATATGTTATAAATGTGGCTAAGTATCAGTGTATCAATCCCAAGCTTGCTCAATATGCAGGCAAACGTGGCATAAATGAAATATGATGACTATTAAAAAATAACTATCAAAAACAAGGAGTGACATAAAAACTCTAGCAGGACTACCAACAGGTCACTATCTAATTGGAAGACATGCCAGCAGACTGAGGATATCATATAACGATTATTATTGAAGCGGCCATTAGGTTAAAGAGGAGAATGTGGAACATCTTCTTTGTGAAAGCAAGGTTTTGTACAATAAAGTGATAGCAATAATCGCTTGCGTGTTTCTTGGCGATGTTTCAGTACTTGCACCTATAACACTTTTTGCATTGATGAACTTCATCCAGAGCACAGGTTGGTGCTGAGTAGAATAAAAGGATTTTAGCACCAGTGGTTTCATAGTATGCCTCCTTAAGGCCTAGGTGCGTCATCAGACAACCACCTTATCTACCTACCTAAGGTCAGTTAAATAGAAAAGTTTTTGAAGTCAATAATATATTTAAAATTTTTGACAGTGACTGCTTTTTTTAAGCAACTGAACTTGTGAAACGCTACTTGTTAACTACTTGGCAGTAGTTATCTGAACTTGTGAAACATATTCAAATTATTTAAAAGCGATTTATTTTATTCAAAAACGTTGTTTTCATGATTGCTTCAGGTTCGTTTATGCTTTTCTCACAATATTGCCTAAAAAAAAGTGCCACATTTTATCGTTTATTAAAACTTTTTTTTTTCTCAATTTTCGTACTAATTTGAATAGGCCAATTTTGTTAAGCTCAATAATGAAAATTACGAATGAGTTTATTTGTATATATCTTTTTCAAGTAAAAGAACAACTTTTCAAGGTGTTATGAAGGTTTTATACAAAGTGCATTTGTTTGTAAGATAATTATTTGAAGTATTGTAAGCGATCGCTAGTCACAACTTTTTCCAGCTATCCAAGAATCGATTATGTTTTTATCGTCGTTATCGTCGTGTGTGGAACTGCTGCTGAACCAGACCACGTGCCATCGAATGGAACAATTAGTAATCAGGCGGTGCAATATTTGTCTGATGTGCTACAGCCACCGATTTCTTGGACCGTAAGAAAAGGGTCAACACTCTTCGCAATTGACGATTATTTGAAAAAAAAAAAAAAAATTGGATATATTGGCATAACCAAAAGTATATGACACATTAGCAAAGTCACTAATGTGGAAATGCAGTCTCTTTTTTAAATGTCTAGGCTAAGTTTGTCACGTTTTCGATGTATCTAAACCGATCAGCACTAAATGTAGAAGTCACATCCACAATTATTTTTGCCAATCTTTAATTATGCCTAACTTTCACACTTTGCTAATTTGCAGTTTGAATCGATTTAGTAATTTCACCGCGTACTTATATTAAGCCGGCTGTTAATTGCTTATGCTTTTAAATATAATATATACATTTATGCTAGCTTGTAATTAAATTCTCCACCTACACGAGAGCATAAATGGCAAGCGTCTTACCTTTTAATTTGTGAAATTGATTTGCCACCGTCTGCTTGCTAATGCTTTAGTTGGCTGTGTTGTTGTTGCAATGTGTTTGTAGTTATTGTTGTACCTTTAACTTAGTGTTTCACTAGTACGCGGTTGCCTTACGCCTTTTTTATTTATTTACGAATTTATAATTTACTTTGTTATTGTAGTTGTTTTTGCCTTCTTTTATTCACTTTTACGCTGTGTAAGCCTTGTAATTAAACAAGGGTTTTAGGTTGATGCACCTGACATTGACAGCTATTCGGAGGTGTATATTTATCGCAATGTATGTATGTGTCGGCTTGTAGCTGTGTGTGTGTGTGTGTGTGTGTCCACTTGGGTGTTTTCTTGTATTTGTTTGCCTTTGCAAGCGGTAGTCAAGGGAGCCAAGCAAATATATGAGCGCGCGCGTATCAATTTTTGCTTGTTTGTTTTGTTTTTGTTGGAATTTGTTGCTGCGATTGACTAGCAGCTCATTTACTTTGACATTTCAATAACTTTGCTTGATTGATTTTTTAATTTCATTTCGTTTTAAGTTATTATGGGTCGTTATTGTTTTTGTTGTAATTTGTAGTATTTCTCAAGTTTTCAAGTCGGATACTTATTATTGTTGTTGTTGCTAACAAATTTTCATTTATGATTATTTTTTTTTTAAATTTCGTATTTTTTCATTTATTTTTAATTTTTTAAATTAAAATTTTTTTAAATATTTATTTTCAATTTTTTCATTTATTTTTATTATTTTTTTAAATTTTTCAAATTTCATATATTTTGCTTCTTTTTGTGTTCTATTTTATGCTGTTTTCTTGTGGCGTAGGCAGTTTTGATTTAAAAACAAATACATAGAAAATGTTGAAATTTTAATCATTTGAAGGCAAAGAAAACCCATAAAATATTTTGAAAATATTTAAAAATTGTTGTTGTTGTTTTTACAGTTTTTTTCCCACACTTTTTCTTCACACGCTCAAGTTCAACGTCTCACACTGTACGTCGAAATTTCAAATTAATTGCTAATTAATCGAGAAATAATGTTGTTGTTGTTTTTCAAAAATGTGCTGCATAACTTATGAACTTTACAGTTACTTTGCTTTACACGCTGTTATAAAATATCGTAAATTTGCTGCATAAAATTAAAAGAGCTTCCGAAATTAGCTTTATTTTATCTCAGTCAAGCCGCACGGTGGGTCGTAATTATTTTATCATTAAATTTTATTTTCCTCAAAGCAACAAGATTATTGAACAATTAAAAACTCAAGCTTTTGCGCAACGAAAATGAAAAATTTCAATACAAAAATTATTTTTCTTGTTTTTGAAATTGTCTAACACGACTTTTTTAGCAACTTGCCACTGCCACCTTTAACACTTTGCACCAATTTGCAGCTTCTTCTTCTTATAAAACCCGCTAAATCGTCACTCAGCACAGTAAAAGTGACTGTTATGGTGCAATTATCACTGCGGCACAAACGTCCGCTGGTTTACACTGACGCGACGCGTGTCCGCTGCTCTGAACTCACGCCGAGCCACACACAACAGATTGCAACAGTTAAGCTGCTTTATGATGTTTTAAGCTGTTTCTTAAATAATAGTGATTGCAACGACAATCTCCGTAGACGCCACACGCACTTTGACCGTAGCTTATCAGGCAGCTCGTGTCGTGCACTCTTGGCTGCTTTGCTTTGCTTCTACACTACACACGCGCTTATCAGTTTGCGTTCACATCGGTTTTGCAATTGCTTTTCACCACACACTAAATGCACCACAATCAATTGCATTCATAGCAATAAATTCCAGCTTTTCACTGATTAACTCTCGGCTTTTCGGTTGAGACTTAAATTTTTAACACACTCGGAAAAATGCACTTTGTTTGCCTTGCAAAACATTATACCGTGTCGTTTTCTTTTACTACTTCATGTAACTATTTCACTCAACAACCGCGACGTACTTCTTTACGTGCACACGATTCGTTTACAACTGCCACATGCCACACATGGTAGCGGCCAAGTGCTGCACTGGCTTGCTGACTCTGGCGACGACGGCAGCAGCGGCGACTCATCAACAGGAATGGTCGGCTGGTTGGTGTGCTCGTTGGCTGGCTCATCGGCAATTCCAACGAGAATTCGTGTGCTGGTGGTGTTATCGCCAATGCTTGGGAGCTAAGAGCGAGCGCTGGCGAGAGATTTGATGCGGAAAGTCGGTAAATTTGTAGCAAGCGAGAAAAATTGTTGAAGTTGATATAACAATGTATTTGATACTATTTTTTAGCATAATTTTAATGATACTTAAAGCAAAAAGCTTTGTTGTTGGATTAAAGTAAAGTATAGCTTAAAGGTTGGGCTAGGTTATACTGGTAGGCCAACAAGCCAGATACCAGCTGGAGTTCAGTTGTTAAGTTCAAGAGGAGTAATCATCGTTTAGGATGCCTGCACTTGACGCGAATTCTCCACAAGTGTATCCTCCTCCAGTGTATCATACCGTGGATACCCCAGATGCTTACAAATCAACAAGTGCCATCAGATAGTGACCAGTTAGTATTCCCATCATGTTCCTACCGTCTCTTATATCGAGTGCTAATGGGAATTTTGTGCACTCCCGATCTCAGACGTACACCATTCTTGGCAATCTCGTCCACTATTTCATTAACCTTGATGCCTTTGTGGCCTGGCACCCTGCAAAAGTGAAGTTGCTTAGTTCTGGCAATACTTGCCATTGCGGCCCTGCTTCCCAAGACATTTTGGCCAATATGCGATACGAGGTTAATGATTGCTGCTTGGTTGTCTACCTAGATGTTGACTCTGGACTTGGCTGCAGATGTATTTGCGGCCAGGTCCGCTGCTTTCGCAATAGCAAAGACCTATATATATTTTATATCGTGATATATTTGACAGAAACATTCCAAATTTAACTGTGAGATATCAGAGGTAAGGTTTTATTTAATAATTGATCAAAAAAAAAGAAACATAAAAAAACATGAAATGTTGTTTAAATTACAAAATGTGTTTTTTAAATATGTAACTTGAACTTCTTCAAAAGATATATGTATATGTAATTCAAAAAGTCGTTATTGCAATAGATTGATTTTTTCTTCCATGCCTCAATAGTAAAATTTTTGTAGCTTGAGAGAAGTTTTTCAAACTCGCAAATATGAACTGCTTTGCTCTCGCAATCTAGAAAAAAGACATGCTCTCTCCCACCGCTGTTCTCTCTCTTAATGCTCTGCCAGTATGCGTGCTCCCCAAATTTCCAATAGGAATTTCACTCACTGGAAAGAACAGCTGATTGGTTTTGTTTATTTCGGAGCACGTCCGGATGTCGGCGCATATAAAGCATTGAAACTGAAATTTATATCTCACAGATACAATGCGTATTCGTGGCTTGGCAGTTCGATAGCTAAAATCTAGACAGCGGTTAATTGGTGATTGCTGACGCAACGGTTTTACGAATTCTGCAGTGGCAGAAGTCACAAATATGTCCGGGTGTTTGTGTGACTTTGGTGTGAGGTTTTTGATATAAGTATGAAAGGGAATTTTTGTTAGATGAAAGGGAAAGGGAGTGGTATCTTTTCAATCTTCTACGTTGTAAACTACTGTCCAGCAGTTGAATCGCAAATGTTTTTTCATGATGGTCCGGACGGTAGAAGTAACGTCCGCAAAATCCTTCGAAAGTTTCCTTTAAAGTGAAAAACCGGTGGAGAGCATCGTTTCTCATATAGAAAGGAGCCCCCACTGTGCTTTGTAGAACTTTATTTTGAAAAGTTTGAATTACTTTTAAATTTAAATTTGCTACACTGCTGCAGATTTTAATGCCATAAGTCTAGATCGGCCTAAGTACTACCTTATAAATTAGCAACTTATCCATCAGACTGAGACGAAATCTTAGTCTACGAAGCCGGTATAGCGTCTACTTCAATCTTAGCTAAGTTTTGTTATTTTCATGTGATTTTTCCAAGTGCGTCTCTTATCAGTAGGAACACCAAATATTTTGCAGATGTGTTTGTTCATAACAACTGAATATTTGAAACTTCAGGGTATACAAAAAAACTTTAAAAACTTTCAAAATAAGCCCTTTTTGCTTCGATGCAGTGCTGTCAACGCGATTTCCAAGCAAGGCATTCTCCGGAATAGCCTTGAGAGCCGAGATGCATGCTGCTTGGATCCTCTCTGTCGTCTCAAAATGCTCGGAAGATTGCCTCTTTGTCTTGGGATCGTACTCAAAGTTTCATAATTCGTTAGCTGTGATTACGTTATTGTAAAACTGGGTGTCACTTTCACAAATTTTCTAATTTTCTTGGCACACTTCCACTCGCCGCAATTACTGGTCGTCAGTGAGCACTTGCGCACGTTTAAGGAAATCAGTTCCATTACAATGTTTTTCGAATGGCATCGACTTGTTGTGACTTTCATGATTTTTTGTATGTGCTATATACATGTTATATATATGTATGTACATATATGTATGTATATATCGAAGCACTATAACATATAACTACCAAATCTTCATCAAATTTTGGATATGTTAATTTCCAAGAAAACACCACCATATCGTAAAAACCTTTTCAGATCAGAACAATATATTCTATAGCTGAAACTCAAATTGAATGATAAGGACCAAATTCTTGTATCGGGTGATTTTTTAAGAGCTTGATAACTTTTTTAAAAAAAAAAACGCATAAAATTTGCAAAATMTCATCGGTTCTTTATTTGAAACGTTAGATTGGTTCATGACATTTACTTTTTGAAGATAATTTCATTTAAATGTTGACCGCGGCTGCGTCTTAGGTGGTCCATT